GATCATCACATTAGCACATTCATGATCTACACAACTAACGTTTTGTGCATCGCATGCTCGCTGCCAGCTGTCTAGCTTCGAATTCCATCTTACACCATATCCATAGATCAGCATCTTACCTTTGTACACCAAACTGTCTGCTACCGATTTGTATTCTCCACATTTTGCCGAGCAGGAGGCGACCGCTTGACTGACTTGCTCAAGCTATTTAGTACATACCAAAGGAAAAGAGATCAGAAGCAAACCAAACCATAAGCTCAGTGTTGTAAAAGTCAAAAGAAAGTTAAAAGATACTCGAAAACTTACTTTCTTTACTCCACTAGTAATCAATCCCCATGTTGGTTCAATTACAAGGTTCTCATCGGGCAGGTCGTCTTCACTCTCAGGGACTTCTAGTCGTGTCAATCCTTTTCAATCACCTCCAATCTCTGAATCTGCGCTAACGTAACCAGTGTCCTCGCCTATTGCTTCTGGAGAATCGGGTTGAGTGATGTTGATGATTGGGATTGGCATACGAACATCGGGTTGTGTTGTTGGTTTGACATGACCTGCCTTGAGCTTTAGACTGTCCAATCCGTGTTTTACGACAAGTGCAAGTTTGTGGCAAAAGCAACGGATATGGTTTGATTGTGAGTCCCAAAAGTGGGGGTTAGTTTCATCCTCCATGAACATCCGCTGCATCTCTCGAGCAAGGAAGTTGTTACTTGGGGCCAAGTCTGTGGTTTGCGCTAACATGTAGATAAAAGATTGAACAAATCAGACCAACACTCATGATAACATTATGTAATGAAACAAAATGATAAATAGTGAAACAAAACTTATCTTGGTGTGGAGTTCATGGCGGATGAGAAAGCTTGCCACAGGTCAAGCAAGTAAAACCCCATGATGGTCCCATACGATACGCTTGAGAGTTAAATGAATTGTCTTGAACTTCCAGTTCTTGTCAATGTACGAAGCCGAGACGCCAAGAAAAGTGTACCTGCTACCTTTGGTGGTCCATCCATCATGGATTAGGCAAAACCGACTTGAGTTATTCTTAAGGCTTGCAATTGCTTCATCGTGTAAACCTTGGGCCAGGGTTTTTGAAGAATTATAGACCCAGGATGGTGATCGTAACTGGGCTTGCTGATTGGCCCATCCAAAAGCGGCCGCAAGCTCAACATCATCAATCCGGATCCAAGGCAGTGCGTGAAGTAATATCCAAATGACCATGATTTTATTGAGCGTCTCAACTGTCAACTTGGTAAATTATGTGATCGAGAGTTGTTTTCCTGTTGATTTTATTTTTGGCTCATTCTTCTCTTGCCAAGTGGGTGGGCAAACTATTCCGGCTTTGATTGCTAGATGTCGATTTCGGCATGGCTTTCGACCGCTCTTGCCGTCTCGATGAGTTTGGAGTTTGTAGTGATTAGATTCGCCATCCTTGTAGTCCTCACCGCACCATTTACACTTGTATGTAAGAACCTCTCGTTCCAATTCTTTCATCTCGTTGGTTTCCTACAAAAGTTTTACCACCATCAGCATTCATCAATAGTTAACCTGGAGGGGACTGGAGATAAGTTACATACAGGATCTTTTATCTTGTATTTCTCTATTGATACCTGTGGGTCATCATGAAAATAAGTAAACAGATCCTTCACTTTTGATGTTCTCTGCTTCTGATCAGAGCTTTTGGGAGTTTCTGAGTCAGACTGTTGATCTGTGTTCATGCCATGCGGAACAAAGATCACCTGAAACAATAGCTGAACATTAACATCTTTACAAAACTATGATAGACATGAAAACTGACGTTCTGGAGTGCTGCCAAGCGCTTCTTCTTTTTTGGAGGTGCACTCTTTTCACTTTGCTTTTTTTGAGCAGTAGCCGAGTCTACATGTCCTCCCGAAGACCTTCTTGGGCGCTTAGGTGGTTTAGTCGACAAGGATGTTTGGGGGTCTTGTCCAGACAGAAGCTCCAAGGGTTCTTTGGGATTAGTTCACTCTTTCTTGGTGTCCGAAGAGGATGCAGTGCCAGTTCCTTCATATTCATCACTGTCCTTGGATTGTGAGCTGAGATCATTAGATTGAGTTGAACTACGAGTCATAGTGGTTTGATTTAAAGACAAAATATGTGTGTGCTGCTATGCGCAAAGTATAATTAAAATAAAGGCCGGTATTTTCATAAAGGGATGGAGGAGACCAAGAATGGACAAGACAAGTATTACTACGACTTTGAAACAAAAAAAAACAATGCAAGGGGTGAAAAATCATCATCTTCCCCTTGGGATGCCCACCATCTGACCTAACCTAACCGCATTTGAAGGGTTCAATTGGTCACTCTTGCTCTGAGGATGACAAACCGCAACCAACCGCAATTTTTGGTTTGTTTTGTTGCTATTTCAAAATGGATCATTTGGTTTTGTTGCGGCCAAATCAAAACGCCATAATTTGAAAAAATTTGCATTTCGGGACAACCGAAATGGCTCCGAAGCTGTTTTGATTGCGGAAAATCACACCGAAATCGCACCGCAACCGAAATTTTGTTGTGGTGCGAAGTGAGTGTTGGTACAAGCACAGGGGCCAAAATAGATACTCACATACATGTGAGTGTTGTAGACTTTTTGGAATTCTCCAAAAAAGATTCACTTTCTTCCAGATTGATTCAATTTACAATCTTGGTTGTGTTCAGGTGATCAGCCTGTGGTGCTCATATTTTACTTGACATTTGTTGAGAAGGCTCATTTCCATCTTGGATGAGCAATAACTGATTCCCAATGAGTACTCAGAATCAGCTCATGTGTCACTGAATACTCAGCAATTTGTTCAAAATGAAGATGAGCACATGAACTATACCTTCCTGAGGCTTCATTTTTCAGTGAAGAAGCCTGCACAGGGGCGTCCCATTTGAGATGTTCTGCAAATACTCAGTAGCATCCCCTGACTGGATCACTGATGGGCCGGAGTTTCCTCAGACTTCCTTGCTAAGGAATGAAGCCTGATAAAAGCGCCATCCCATCTGCTCAGTTTATCTCAGTTGCTCAGCTAATCCTCAGTGATATCCCGGATAATGTTTTTCACACTGAGGGGCTGAGATCAACTGAGCAGCCCCTCAGCCAATACTCAGTGACATCCTTTGGATCCTTCTGATCCGGCCAGGAATGCCCCCGAGGACTAGCTGAGCAGCTGAGAAGAACTGAGCAGCCCCTCAGCTGATGAGCAGTGAAATCCTCCGGATCCTTCTGATCTCAGGAATGCCCCTGAGGAATAGCCAAGCAGCTCAGTTGAACAACCAGAAGGGCCTCAGGCTTCATTCTGGAGCCATGGAGCTTGAGGCAAGCTTGGCGCTCTGTGATCTGTCTGGGGGATGCTTCAGAGACTTAGCTAAGGGAATACTCAGTTCAGCTCAGCCCCTAAGCTATACATTAGTGGCATCCCTTGGAACTTATTGAACCAGGGAATGCCGCTCAGGATCAGCTGAGCAGATGGATCAGCCCTTCCTCAGACTTCTTTGCTCAGGAATAAAGGCTGAGGAAGGCTTAGTTTGTCTGCTCAGTTCCTGATGATCACGTAATCAGCTGACAAGCAGAAAGAAAAGGGAAACAAATTGGGAACAAATGGGAAACAAATGGGAACAAAACAGGAACATTTCAACACTCACATAGTTGTGAGCATCAATTTTTGCCCCTGTGAAGGGGTTGTTGGTGTTTCGAGATGTGGTAGACATCTAAGAAACAAACCCACAGAGGGTTATGAACCTATAAGACAAACCTGTACAGGCATTGTAAATAAACATAATTCTAATAAACAAATCCAATGAGAATGGAAAACACTACACCATTCCACGATGATGTCCATGTCTGACTTGCCATCGTCGGGCTGAGGTATCAACCCGCTTCTTTGATTTGCTTTGTGCTTGTTCTGCTTGTCATCTTGTGTATCTTGAGTTTGTACTTCAACTTGATTTTCACAATCAGACTCAGGTTGAGAATGACAAAGCAAATGTTGAATTTTTGGAGGTTTCTCCTTTGCAGGTTGTCCTCAAGGCTTCTTAGGTGGGTTAGGAGTGGTCATACAAGGTGTAGCTTGGTTGGTTGATAGTGGAGTTGCAGTTGAGACCGGACCAACTTGTTTTAGGCGCAACCAGTCCAACACCGAAAGGGTTGGAAGGGTGAAAGCTGTCAAGGGGACAGCTGAAGGGGTTCCACCAATGTTTGCTCCAAGAAGATTTGGGTGGAGCAAGCTAGTTGAATTGGTTGGAGTTGATGTGGGCATAGTTTGAGTGTTGATTGGAGGGTTTTGAGGTAGTGAGGAGGGAGTGTTTGACTCCATGTGTATTTTTTTTTCTCATGTGGATTTTCAAATCAACAGAGCAGTACCCACATGAAAATACCAAAAAAGCATAATGTTTCGTGCGGGTTTTTCATGCAGGTTTTTCATGCGGGTTTTCATACGGGTTCTCATGAGGATTTCAATTTTGTGTACCACTATTCATGACTTTGGGAATCTACTCTGAAAAATTACCAAATTAAGTGGCACTTGATGGTTGCCACTCTACATACATGGGTCATACCTGACCATATGAGAGGGGCCTGACAGCACAATTCAGTGTGGTCATATATACAACTGAAACTATGCAGCAGTCCTGCAACTGACTTCATTTGAATTGGGGCAGCAATAATTTATGAAACTGACCAGATCATGGGCAGGCGCCGCTTGACCACCAAGGACATGACGCTGCTTGAAATTACCATGTCATGCGGAGGTCCACTTCGACTTCAGCACGATTCACTTCGCTTACGGTTTCATAAACTAGCTGAAGAATGTCACTAAGAAGCCTTTCCATCAACCAAAGGAGTGGGGGAAATGACTCCCGGCATCGTCTCTCTGAGCTTTTGATCAAGGCGAGAGCAATACATATATGGCGCTCCCGATTTACAAAAAGTACTGCGTCGTTCCAGCTTTGTCGGTAGACACGCGGTTTTGATTGGGAACTGTAAGGAGATGTTGAATAGAACGAAGGCGTCAATGCCACGAGCAATGCCTTGCAAAGAAAGAAGGAACGACTTCAAAAGCATGCGCGCGATACCGGAAGAATGAGACCTCACCCGCCGTGAATAGTTTGAAGCTATCTTTCATATCGACCCTGCCATCTGCATCAACACACATGACACTGGCCACGTTGCCGCAACGATAGCAATAATTCGGTGCAGACCAAACGGTCACCAAGTTGTTATCTGGGGCAAACATGTACTTGTAACCTTCTTGCACGAGCTGATGAGCACGGGCTATCAAGCTAAGGGCATTGAGTTGATTGAACTGCAAATGACGAAAGTGTCAGCAGATTCTGAGGCATAATCGCTGAGCGGTACACGTTATGACAGCGCACTTCTTGAGCGACCTTTGCGCCAAAAAGCCATCCCGCCCCCCTCGGAGAGACCGACCAGGAGCCTCCTTCGATTTCATCCGGGTCCGACCACATCAAATCTGAACTTGGACCGTTCAGTATCAGAAATTATTTGGAATAGTAGCTCTTGTGTGGAAACGTGAGGAAGCGTACCACAGAATGCCCCAGCATGCGGAATCTCTTGCGCTCGAGTGAGTACCCTGACTTGGTCCAGCGTGCGAATCTCGGGTGAAAGGCCGCCATGTACGCATAATATAGTAGAATCGATAATCTTTGGAGCTCGGATGAGGAGTCACCTCTACATCCCATATTCAGAAAAAAAGACGAACTGCGGCAAGGTTGAGATAATCAAATACGTTGCAACACGCTTTCCAAACGTTCGCGTTGCCGTACTTGCGTTGACATTCATCTAGAGTGTCCACACAACCAAAGGTGTAACCAGAGATGCCATTGGGCGAAAATGCGTACCGGCGATCAGCTCCAGGTAGTATGTAGGGGGCAGAGAGAATCCACTTGGCAATAGCTCGACAGAAATACCATAGAAGCCATAAACTTGTGTTATTGAGCGTGACTCATGATTGCCACGAAGGAGAGTGACTTGATTAGGATACCTGCGTGTACACGCAACAAACAACGCCGATTTGACTCTTCGGGACCTGCATGACCATTCAGAGCCAGGCAGAGATTGAGTTTACCTAGCTTTATATGCAAGTAGGAGCGAGAAGGTCTCCAAAGAGAAGTGACCGCGATCCACGAAGTCCCCCTTGCAAACGCCCATAAGAAGCGGCGCAGATTAGTCAATCGTGGCAAGGGGCTGAGACGAGAGATGAGTACAATTTTTTTACCATAAGTATGTAGTTCGTCGTGCCCGGCTGTCCCCCGACTCTGAACATTTCAATCATATCCCACAACTGACCATGGATATCACCGCAGACCGTAACTGGAGACGAGACTGGTTGGATATTCGACTCCTCCATCAGGATAGAGCGTACCAATTCGCACAAACCCTTGATTTCAGGCTCAGGGAGATGATGACATGCTTTCAGCTTGTCGATGGCATTATCTGGGGTGGAAGAGGGAATGACAAGAATCAACAAATGTGAAGCCGTTCCTGTGACACGAATATTCACCAAGATCGAGCATGTCGTCGCCGGCTGTAAAGTTGAGGACAGAGAGATGAAGTGCAAGTTTAGTGCCGAACGGTTGGGAAGGGATCCGAAGCACCAGGGTGTCGCATAGAATCAGTTCAAAGTTTGGGTTTTCAGAGGTTACCAGAGCGAGCCCCGAGCCCATGCCACAAGGGATGAGGGTTCGGTCTCAAGATGGGTACCGGCCCCGCGTTGTCACCGAATCTCCGACGGATGCTCCGTCAGGTGCGGTTGTCGGAAAGGCCTCTGGAGCTACCCGGAAGCCGGATACTCCGGCCGGTCGGTTCGGTAGGCGGATGGGGAGGAGGAAAAAATGGATATCAGACAGATATACCCTTTGTAAATATGTACAGTCGCCGCTCGATATAAGCAACCTTTTAAATACAGAATACCTGATGCTTAAAGGGAGCGATGCATCACTTCGAAGTAAGCATAAAAGCATATTTGGGAAGAAATTGACCCTAATGCTTATTTCATCAAAGTCAAAATTGCATATGATTTTTATTGTAATTGGCATAGATACATCATAGATAATAAAAAAGCATACAAAGCATAAGAGGGCATACAAAGCATAAGAGTGTATGTCTAGGACAACGACACAAACATTTAAGACATCTGGTTTTATTCACCTTCATGGAATAGGCTTGGGGCAAAGAAGTCGGTGATACATTTTTGATTCACAAATTTGAAGCGGGCAGTACTAACATCATTTCGAAGCGAGTGTAAGGCTGTGATGTGCTTTCTCCAGTCGGGTCCATGATCATCCACGAGTTCATCTATTTGCTTATCAATTGAAGACATTTTGATTGAGGATGTAGAGCAGGATAGAATGCTGAAACAAAAGTGGTGTAGGGTCGACTTGATAAAATTTGATGGCTGGGTCTTAGTCAAGCAGAATTGCTATCAGGATTTGGGTCCACTGATTTCTTTCGAGTCCCACTGGCATACCTACTGTTTTTTTCCTCACCTGTCTGGAATCTAGATGTTTCTAGGCCACTCTTTATAAGCATACATGACTTGAGAGTGGTTACTTATGCTTATAAAGCCACACTTTCTCGTTCCTTGTAAGCATATTTCCAGAAAAAAAATGCGTTTAGCCTATATGCTAAAGTGCTCCAATTAAGCCCCCCGCATTTTTGTTTCACTGAAATTTGACCCTTATAGCGAAATATGCTAACTCGATGTGTGCTTATATCGAGCGGCGACTGTATTTGTCTGGCAGGTACACCACGGAGTGGTTCCTGGTCCAAAACATGGTCGGTGAGGTCTGAGACTCGTCGGGGTCCTGGAATTGTCGGATAATTGCCTGAAAGCAGCCTTTATAATGCCTGCAGCTGGTCTTCAAGAACGGGCTACATATACGGGGTGTGAAACCTCTTTCGCATATTTCTCACGTTTGCTTGGCTGTCCATAAACTTATCAAAGTCCCACGCTCACGCCTACTCGCGAGGCGTCGAGAGTAGGCCTACTCGCGAGGCGTCGAGAGTAGGCGCGAGCGTGGGACTTTGATAAGTTTAGGCTGTCCACGCGTGTGAGCCTAGGCGCGGTTGTTGAGAAAACAACAGGACGGGTTTTTAAAGTGTCCCTCACTCGCGCCTCAAATCATGCATTCTTTAGTCTTTTCGGGAGGGGTACAGGGTTCAAAGGAACAAGAATGACAGTTCAATTGAATTCCATATTCAAAAGATATGAGGATGTCCTAAGGGCGATGGCAACTGCCGACATTCATGCAGAGGCTCTTGAGCCTATCTTCCTATTGTACTAGTAAAACAACGCAATGATGGAATAAATCTGCGAGCGCATTTGTACTGAGAAAGATTGAGACGGGAACTAGGAGACCACACAGTATTTGGATCCTCCACCAACTTGGCCCTGGCGTTGAGAGATCACGCAGTACTTCGATCCGCCGCCAACTTGGCCCTGACGTTGGGAGATCACGCAATACCTCGAACCGCCGCCGACTTGGCCTTCGCGTTCGGAATTTAAGGGGATGGCAGCGGAAGGGCTACCGTTCTCATGTTTTTGACTGGTGGCGCTAGACATTGTGGTGAGTGGCGATGTGATTTTTGATTTGGCGATTGGGTTTAGTTCTGAAGAAGGATGGTGTGCGGTTGGTGGTGTGCAGGTGAAGGTGAGAAGGTTGCTGAGAGATTGAGAATAGGAATTGTGTGGCAGCTTTATACCTTTCTCAACAATGATGGTCAAGCCTTGAATGCTTTCGAGGAGCTGCAATGCCTCTTTGTCACACTAAAAGCACCGATTGTTTACAACGTGCTGCATATAATCTGCGAGAAAGCTAACGCTATTGGTAAGAGAAAAGAATATAACGTCTGGACTTGCTGATTCAATTAGATCAAAAATGAAATGCGATGCTGCCCCAACCAGGGCCCCGCGGGTCGGTGGGCTTTTTCGCCCAGGCTAGAGTGGCAATGCTTTTCTAGGACCTTGCTTAGAGCGTTGGAAGCGGTGGTCGGTGAAAGTCCCGGCACTCGAAAATGCAAACTACAGATCTGCATTCCGCATGTCTATCTGCTTTTCCTAAAAGTCCTCACTTTGGAACATGTACACTTTGAATCCGCACCCGCCCTGTGTACCAACTTTTCCGGATGTGTTTTTGCTATCCAGCAAGAATCTATCGATTGAGCACCGAGTGTGCGGTCATTGAAAGTCCTGTGCTTTCGAACATTGCATGTTCGAACAATGGTTCGCGTAAGTACTAGCTGTTTCGGATGCATGCTTCTTTAAGGAGTTATGTGCTTTCTTTCCACCAACAATAGAAAATTAGAACCCTTTGCAAAAGGGGGTATGCTTAAAGCGTCGAGTAAACGAAAAGGTGGAACACAGGAAACAAGGAAGCACACGAAGCATGCCCTCAGTTTGACCTAAGTCTATTGTCGCATGGCTCTTCTTGTAAAGAAAAAGCGTCTGACTGTGGGACTCGTTCTTTTTGAGATCTTTGCCCATGCCTGAGGCTGGGCAGCTCTTTTGTTGGTTCAAAAGCCTCACGTCGAGCTTATCGAGGTTGTCGGTCCACAGACTTATAAAAGCTCGCAATCCAATGCCATTCATTGACTTGCGTGAGCTTTTCTTAAGCACTGTACGCGTCTTTCTTAGAAAAAGTCGCTATCGCTGCAATCGTGACTTTTCTTGAGCCAACGCCGCCGAGATTCGAGTATAAAGCTGATAGAATTTAGCGCTGCTGACCTAACCCTCTACTCACTCAACCATCCTTCCCATACAACCTGTCCACCACTTCAAAATCGACTCTCCAAACTTCACATCCAACCCACACCCTTCTTGAACCCTTTCCACATCAACATGTCTTCTACTAACACCCAAGATACCCACATCAGCTCCGGCGTCACTGACACTGCTTGCCCAGAATACCGTGAGGGTCAGATCGGCGGCAGTAATCACATGTGCGTCGTCAATCGCGAAGGCCAAATTGGTGGAAGCAATCACATGTGTGTTCTGTCTCGCGGAACTCGCGGAGGTCAGATCGGTGGAGGCAATCACATATGCGTCGTTGCCAAGACCGGGAGCTGCACTTATTAGGTTGATTGCAAGCGTGACTCGCCGGACGGAAAGTCACCTTTAGTTGTCAGTGATTCTCCGGTCCCATCTCGTTATGAACCCATGACGAACTCTGATTCGCCAATCACCGCTTAACCTATACTCTCAGGCCTCAATCGTCTCTCGGCCGTCTTGGACTTTCTTTTTTGCCTATCTACTTGATTTCTTCAGCCTTTTTGTGTTGTAGTGGTCCTTCACTTTCATTCAATTTGCCTATGTAAACCTGGTCTTTTAGGCTAAAACGTTTGGAGCAATCTTGACTAGGTCATGTCCTTTAATCTGTTCTAAGATAAATATCTGACTTGAAATGCATCTAGGATGACCTGCAACGCAACATTTTCTCTTTGCATTTCTCTTCAAGGATCTCAATCCCTCACACACCGATACCAATCATAGAATTCTTGAAAAATCACATAAACAGCCGAGCCTAAGGAATGATAATGATATTTTGAGTTTTGTTCTCGTGACCTGATAGATTTGGAGACTTATTTCACTCTATTTTAGTATTGCTTTATGTTTCGCACTCTCTTCTACTGCTACCGTACAACTTACATTCGGGATAAATGCCCAATGTGTCTAGACAGTTCAGCCGACAACGGTGCGCATGTTCCATTCTCTGAGTTTCTTACTTATTTGGTAAGAAGGTGTTATGTACTTCTATTAACTTGTACGAGCTACTGGGTGGCATACCACCCCCTAGTAGTGGGGCGGCCACCACCCTCTAGTAGCCTCTCCTGACTGCCCACCCCAAACAATGCTTACTGTTTTGCCACAGCATTCCTGATTTGCAATGCATCTTTGCCGTACCTCAAATCTACCTATGTTCTCCTGTAGAGTTACATCATAATCCCGCTTGATGACTCTGAGCGTAACTCTCTAACTTCTCTTACATATATCTGTTCCCAAATGTGTCACTGGCTTAGTCAGCACTTGTTTGTTTTTCACAGCCTAATGTTTTCCTTGTTGTGATGCATTCACATATTTTCCAATTTTTTCAACTGAAGTTTTCATATGTTACATACTTTTACCACTCAATGTGTTGAACTGGCCTTCACATATCAATCAATAGAAAAGGCAATAATTCACCTTGCATTTGAACCACCCAACCCCAATCAGGATGTAGTGGGTTTGAGAAACCCAAACTTATCACAACTCAGAACGTGATATGTTCAATTCATGATATTTTGAACAACCAGCATCCAACCCTTGAGGTTGAAATATCCACTTCCCTTTACATCATATATGAAACCATGGTTATCACTTGCTAAATCAATGTACCAAACAGTCAAGCAACTTTCAAGTTATTGAGATTTGGTGGGTGCAATACCAAGACCAATGACATGAAACTTGAGGTTGATCTTAAGGTTAATGGATTTTTGTATGATTAAAATGATGTGATCATCATGAGCTTTGATAAGAAAGATAATGGATTCTATTGAATGTACAGACTTACCACAATAGAAAACTCCACTTCTCAAGATACAAAGTGGATCCTTGGCAATGGGATTCCCTAAAGGAACATTATAAATCAAAACATGTTCATAAAGTACACATGCTATGCAAATAAATTTCCCCAACTTGAATCATAGCCAAACCCAAAGCTCATTCCAAGTCCTAGACTTAGAATCTTAAGCCCTCCCACCATTTTTTCTAAAACATCAAACCACAACTGGCCAGTCAAATTACCCAAACCTTTAATTGATTCAATCAGAAGGTCACCATTAATAATTTCTTCTTTCATTTGATTTTACATTAGCGGTACACAAACATGAACACCCGACCTAAAAACCCATGGACAAAACCCATGGCAACCCAATTGTTTTTTGGGTCTTGTCCACCGGGGAAGCAGAAAACCAATGGACAAAACCCCAAAAACAATTGGGTAGTCATGGGTTTTGTCCATGGGTTTTTAGGTCGGGTGTTCAAGTTTGTGTACCACTATTATTTATGACTTTTTATATGTATGGCAGCCCTTGAAACCCTGCACAGAACCCCACAGGGCGGTGCCCGCCGCATGATTTGCTAGTTCAATTGTAAATGTCAAGTATGTGAAATGAGTAGCATGTAACTAATTTATTTACTTCAACACAAACCACATGTTGTCCATTAAATTTGGAGACTCTGAGATGGGATTAAGGCTTGGACCCGGCCCAACCCGGCCTTCAAAATCCAAGCCGACTTGGGCTCTTCTTTTTTGGCGGCCAACCCGGACCGGCCCGAGTGGAAAAACTTTCCGTGCTGAACAGCCAAAATAATAAAAATGAAAGAAAATAAACAAAACGGGTGATTTCCGGCGCTTTATATTGGTCATTTAAAGCCCTATTTTTTGCTTTTTAGGTCCCATTGCCCCTTTTCTGAGCCTCTCAGAGCCACTTTCATTGCTACACCCACTCAAAACTCTTAGTTTCAGCCCTTTTGGCTGGCCCGGGAGCACACCACTCTCGGGCCCAATGGCAAATTTCTGAGGCCAAAAAAGCCCGGGCCCGAGTCCGGCTCGGGCTTGCCCGCTGGTCCCAGTGCCAGGTCCATGCCTTAGATGGGATCCAGGAACAGGGGCTGTTGTCAAATATTTGTATCATCTCGATGCAAGCACCAGTGAGAGATACTGTCCACATTGGGTGGTTCTAGCGGGGTGGAGCCGAGATGGGAGGCAGGACGAAGTGTGGATACAGGTTAGGTGGCGTAACCCTGTGCCCAAGTAACCTCATCTGGGTACAGGGGTTTTCCTCGCTATATAGTGGGGCCACCCGAGCCCCGGGACCGTTGCGGAGCGCTCACTGCGCTATGGGTTTCGGCAAAACCATAGTGTGGTGCGCAAAACCCGCTATAGATGGTGGGGCCATGGCGGTGCAAAAAACCGCTCCGCAACCCAGAAAAGCGCCGGAGCGGTTGCGGTATTGCCTCAAAGACATGCAAACGGGGATGTTGTGTTCATTTGATGCTTCAGGATTGGTTGCAGGGCGGTGCTGCTTGGTATTGCGCTATAAACTCAACGTATGTAAGCTACTTAATGGTCCTGTGGGGTCAAGCTGGTGGGCCTTACATTGGTACATGTGAGCTGTTTGGTCTGGATGGTATTAAAGGTTGCGCATGATTCTTCTGGGTGCTTTGATGGGCTTGTGATTGGGAGAAGCAATACAATATCAAAGCTATCATCACCATTATTATTGGTTGGAGTGATAGGAAGCTGAAAATTGCACAATACACAAAGATGGCAAAAAGATGTCATCAGCGACTTGTAGTGTCAATGTTACAGTAAAGAGCTCACACTGGGACCTGAACATCCGCGTGGACTTAGAGTTGTAATGATGGCTGGAATGATGGATGTTGGTGAAGGCTACAAATAGGTGTCAGCAAGTGTCTTGGTGCAAGCATGTTTGCAGAAGACCTACCAGTGGAGAGTCCACACTTGTGACAGGGTTGGCGGGACTGGGAGGTGCAGGTGTGGGCTGCAGTGAAATATGTCAGTATAAGCATACTTGATGGAATGACGGATTGAAAAAGGATCAAATCTAAAACTAACCAATGCTTCTGAATCATAATTGCCCAATGGCTTAAACCTGAGACAAAATGCCGAGTTTGTTGGCGATGAGTCCAATGCTTTCACTGCGTAAGATGGGGTAGCTGGCGGTAGACGTGATATGTTAACAACGTCCACGAGGGCGTTTGGGACCTGGACAGGGGGTGAGAGCTCTGGAACTGTGTTATGCAAAACAGTAGGCGGTGATATCGATGCTGTAGGGAGAGGTTCTGGTCCTTTGGGCGCTTTCTTGATCTTCCTCTTGCGCTTTGGTTTTGAAATCAAAAATAAGGTCATGGATATCTATGTTGATATGTCAGACATCAATATGAAACAATGGGACGCTGACTCTAAAAAAAGAAAAGGCGACTTACCGGGGGCAACTTCATAATGAAGGGTTCGGAAGGTTTGAGGATGTGAAATTCTGTAGCTCAATTGGGTGGTGAGGGATGAAATGAACTCGTATTGGAAGGTAGGATCAATGGAGATAGGTTGGTTTTAGATTGGTATTGATGAGATGAAGTCAAAGCATGAGGGGTATTGGTGTGATACTTGTTGAGGATGTCTTGAATTTCAGCGAATGCTTTTGCTTGATCATTTCCTTGGAGCTGAGATAGCTTGTTGGAGATCTTGGAGAGATAAGAAAATGACATTTAAGCATTTGAGCTACAGAGCTCATTGACAAATAGGGTGAGCACTTACCATGGTCAAACATTGCTTGATGACTGTAAGACTCTCGGCAACCGGGCATTTGGTGTCCTGGGTCTGGAGACGTGGAAACAGTCAGTCGGGGTATTCCGCTACGGTCTACATCAAATGACTTACTTCTGAACCTATAGGACCATGGTTGTGTCCAGGATGCTTGATACGAACTGTCCAGCTACCCACTGGAAGGGGTATATAGCTGGGATTCACAAGCTGATGAAGTGCAGTGGGAACTTTAGATTTGGTTATCTGGTATCTTTTTATATTTGAATCAAATATTGATCTTCTGCGTCTGCTTTCATTCAAGTAGTGAATACATGATTTGTTCTGATATGTATGAATGTATAGAGAAAGAGATGTTGAGGTTGGTCCAGAAGTTCAGGCATTTGACCGACCAACTACCAAGAAACTAAGTGTAGTATTCAGTTTAACGGAGCGGATGACAGAACAGACAGGCATTGACTGACTAAAGTAACCATTACAATTTATGTATACCTATATACTCCACTTTTGGCCGGGCCGCCAAGGCGTCACTCAACCACAAGTTACAAAATTCTACCATCTCCTCCAAAAAAAACTCATACCGGGTGGCTTGCATGTTACGACACATGGAAGCAAAACCGCCGTACCAAATGTTGCTCAATTCGCCGGCGGAGGCATTAAAAATCCAAGAGCCATTTTCTTGGAGGTCTGGAATTTTTTTCGGGTCGGTATAACGTTGACAAAACACATCGCTTTCTTTATGTGACCGATGGTGGAACGGATCAACGGGGATGACAGTATGTTCAAATGGGGCGGGAGACTTGTCACCGTTATGGATCACACGTAAGAGAGTGCAGGCATTGTCATAGAAAATCACCTCCGGCAGCCCTTCAGGAAAGGCTTCCATGAGGTAATCCTTCAAGGGAAAAGATAGGTCATGGTCAGTGGTTTTTCTTTGAAGGTAGTATAGTAAAGATAAGCCAAGAGGACATACCCTCACGGCACTCGGTGCTTCTGCATTGTAGAAAGTGCGCCGACTTAATATGATTCCGCAAGTACCTACAATAAGTTGATCATTATGCGTTCGGGAGCGAGTCAAGACCGGTGTGCCTTTGGGCTGGGCTTCCCCACCGTCGCGAGCAGCCTCGTGAGCTCGATCAGCCTCATCGGCTTGGTGGATGCTATCGAGATCAATTAGTTCAACAGTGTCGGGATGGAGATGAACAGAAGGGTCGGATGGCAGATTCGACCCCGGGCGGTTCAGCATTGATTTCAGGGAGAAATTCCGGTTCTTTTGAGCTTGGAAAGCGGTCCATGATTCCTGGTGATTTTTGTCTTGGCACGTCTGTGAACCAGGCGTGGCCAGTGACGTACATGGTTGGGCGATACACCATCCTTTCAAAGAGACTTCGTGCTCGACGCAGAATCGTGAATTGACTTTGGGTAATGGGTTGAGGCATGGACCTTTGGGATGAGGTGCGCCGGTGCGCTGAGCCAGCACCTGTAGCTGTGCCGACGAAGCCGTGCAGCGCCAGTGACCGATCGTCAGTCCATCTGTGACTACGGCTCGGATGACTGATACAAAGAACTGTAAGCCAAACGAACCAGCTTAAACATGAATTTGGGAGACAACCATACTTTTTACCGCTTCTTTGCCTTCATGTTCAACCTTGCTGATTCGGACACACAAAGAACAGAAGTGGTGCAAGTGAGATGTCCCATGATTAGCAATGTAATACAGTTCTCGAGCCATCGCCGGCAATAGTCGGTCGGCATTTTTACCACGGGCGCCAACGTAAAGCACTGAACCACGTCGGTCGCAACGTCGTAACAAACTATATAAGTCGACAGCATCACGAGCCACTTCTTGGGATATCTTGGGTTCGGATTGAAGGCCTGAGTGTGTTGGCACATTTTGGCCCTTGAAATGAGTGAGGTTGAACAAGTTGACCAAATTGAAATTTGAAATGCTTGAAAGAATGCGAGTTTCAGCTCCTGGAAAGTCATTAGGTGTTGTGTGAAAAAAAAACTCACTGTGCAAGCATCTGAGCTTGACGGAAGTACGTTGCAAGTCGGTGGGTGATGCCAAAATGACAGTGAACCTGATAGTGTTCTGGGTGGGCGCCTTGAGCTTTGGAATAGTAGACTCTTTGCACTTTTGATGTGTAGTATGAAGGGCGATACTTTCTACCACAATCTGCAAGGAGTTGGTCGCGGTTGGTCAGTATGCCAGAGTGTTAAAATGTAAGGATGGAACGCACCCAGACAGCCCCAGGTATGGAACTCGGCAGAGTGGATGCCGTCAAGGCCATAAAGATATCCATTTATTCGAGGACGTTTGGCGAACCCCCGACCGGAAGCTTGAGGACAGAGCAAACAGGTACTCGTGGGAGGAACAAGGTAGGCCTCATGAACCTTGGTCGTAAGGTGTTTGGTCAGACCGTGCAGGCGAATTAGGTTGGTTGTGTCAACGTGCGCAAAAGGAATAGCAGGGAATGCAAGTGTCCATAAATGTTCATATTCGCCAGGCTCGATCTTCAGCTGTAAGGCAAGTTGCATGAAAGGGGCAAGCCGAAGGTCGTCAGAGGTGAAGTTCAGTGCCTTGTCGGCACGCTTGTACACATCACTGGCAAGAGTGATGAATTGGACGAGGTTGGCCAGCGTAAGACGTGTTGCTAGGTGTGGGTGACGTTCATTGAGGCGATTAACGAACTCGGTGACTAGCATGATGAATGTACAATGGTTCAATATAGATGTTGAAATGAGGAGACACTGTCAAGGTGAAAAAAACAGAATCAGAATGATAAACTTTTCGACTTTATCTGGAAGGCCCTCTAGCTGAAAGACTCACGTCCAGGACGGTCCACCGTAGACGCGATGCACCACAGGAGTAATGCTGGATCCAAGAAACCGTGGATTAGTCTTCCGAGTGGAGATGGACGTGGATGGAAGGGTTACGATCGGTGACGGAGGAAGGTGAGGATACCGTACAACAAGGTACAAGAATAACAGATAAGGAAACACTGTTGAGGTGAAGAAATATACACAGTTTCGGAATGAGATAGTTTTCGAGGCAAAGACTCACATGCAGGAGGATCAACCGTACGCGTGATGCACTGCAGGAGTGTTCCTGGATCAAGGGCGTGAATTAGTCTTCCGAGTCGAGGTCGATAGAGGTGGATGGAAGGGTTGTATGTGCGATCACGAATATGGCGGAAGGCGACAATGGATACCCGGTACAAGGAGGTGCTAACCGTACAACTACACGTTGAATCGATATGTTACAGTCTCGGTGTTCTCGGTGTAGACCCATAAAGTGGGAATTGCCCAGGTCACGTTTGCCGCAGTCGGGGTCTCCAGGGGAGGCTTGTGGGACGGACAGACATGGCATTAAAGCATAGATGTATGATACATGTACGGCTGTATTATGCTTGTACGGGGTCGTGAGAATTCCCGCGTGAGATTTCTCAGCAAAAAGTCGAAAGTTCGATCTACCGCCCATGCTCAAGTTATGATTCACACATGTCTATTTAGTTTCAATAGAGGACAATTTGTTTCCTAGTATTCTATACTCATTATACTCATTAGGGGTTGGGTAATATTTTGACCAACCAGTTTTGCGCCTCTGAGAAGCCTCCCGAAATGAGTTGAAGATGGCAGAGGACAAGTATTCTGGGTTTCACAGATCTTTTACGGATCTGAGCCCAGAGCCGAGAGTTTTTAGGCAATACCCAGGCAAGCTTTCGCCAGAAGAGATGGGTTTGGGGATATGTGAAAGGTGCAAAAGGGGTGTTTGCATGGCTTGTACTACGAGCCCAGCAGCGCAAATTGCTTTGCCCTGTAAGCCTTTTGAACGGGTGAAGCTTTGCAGTTCTCAAGAAACACTTTGTACTGGTGTGTATTTTTGCAAAGCAAAAAGATCAATAAAAGTTTTGGTCGGTTAAGGGTGGCTTCAATATTGCTTTCTAGCCATCTCAAAAGCATTCTTAAATCATTGAACTATGACTGCATGGGTTTTGCAAACCGGTTGGTCAAAATTTTGCCCAACCCCTATTATTGTCTTTGTATGTCTGAACAAATCTTTGATGCATTGATCAATCAATTTCATTTTGGTCCTTTGAATCAGCTGTCTGCTAGCCAAATTTCAAGGCTAGCAGTAGTTTGAGGAATGGTGTGGAGCAGGACCCAGGACCCAGACCGGTGGTTGACCCTCTGCATACTATCTTCAGCCAACTTGCAGGGAGTCTGTAGGGAATGGGTCTTGTCTTAGGGCGGCAAGATGCAAGTGTGGCTACCAAAACAGGCCTGTGCCCGGAATGTATTTCCCCCATCTTTGCAACCAGAAAATAGAGAGAGAAATAGTGAAAAAGAGACGACACGTGAGGGCTGATAACTATTTCTACATTTTGTTGTTGGAGGGAGCAGGAGGGCGGGTAAATGAAAAACATTTCAAATAAAATAATCTGTAGACTTGCGCCTTGAATGAACTACTGTATTAGAGTGTATAAAGGCTTTGATGAAAACCTCAACTAATCTGTATTTAGGCGGAGGAAAGATTTCTTGAGGATAGAGAAAATTAGTGCAACAAATTTTTTGTAAAAAGAATTTCGACAAGTTTTTCTGGGGACAACTGAACAAGACTGAGACAGAGACATGAGGATTCACGAGAAAACATCGGAGCTGCGGTCTGAATCCTATAATGAGGATCTTTTGTGAGTAGAGACGTTCCTCTGCTGTCCCCATCGTGAAGCCACTTGAACCCTTTGTCTGGGTGTCCTTGACTTTACCCATTCCCCTCAGTCAACTCTCTGAGCCAACTTACAAACGGTACAAAAGAGGCGGTCTGCAGACAGTGGGACTGGAGCCCTTCTGCAGACGGTCCGTGACTATATCAAAAAAGGCCAGTCTGCAGACGGCCTTGGTCCCAGTCTGCAGATGGGCCAAACCACTCCGTGGTGTAGTGTCAGAGTCCTCCCGAAAGCCTGGTGTTCCCACTCAAGTGGCACTTTAGAGCCACCGTACCTTGACCTGGCACGCGTCTTGCGCTCAAAAGTCGCTCTCTGGTGTACAGGATGTGTTACTAGAGACCAGGCGCGGAAATCCCGGGTTTCGTTATCACTAGAACATCGTTAGGGTGCTCGTTTTTCTTGGTTTTTCACACTCACGTCTCAAAAGTGGCTTATTTGTCACTTTGAGACGCTGTACACAGCATATTAGTGTGTGATCAACGTCGAGCCTCACATGGTTTCAGTGAGGCACGAGACCATCTACACAGCCAATCCTCCGGGTCAAAGCAGCTCTTCGCTTTGTTCCGGGTTCCCTTCTTTTAATAGTGAAGGAATAGATATGTGCTTTTGTGGTCCTTTTCCTTACCTCACTAGTTGAGATTGTTCCGTTGGTTTGCTCTCCAAATTCAACCTATTTTCTCTTCTTGAATTGGTCTAAAGTGCCAATCAGTCTAAATCTTCTACTGTTGGATGACTTTGGCGATTGGGATGATCACTAAAAGTTATGGGTTTGAGTATTTTATGTGCGGTGAAACATTTGTGAAAGGTCTTGGAAGGGAATAACACTACACAAAATATAATATTTTCTGGGCAGAAAATTAAATTATTGATACACAAAAATATTGAGAGGCCAGGAGAAGGGCAAAAAATAAATAAAAATATGCATCTTGTTCCCTGCGGTGAGAGCTTCACTCTCCATATTTTTCCATATTTTTACAGTCCGTATTGATAAGTGTACTAACAATAAACCTTCATAATCATCCAATTACAACCTGTAACAAGCACTGAAATTTGGCTCATTAGTGTTTAGAGAAACTTTTGATTTCTGAACACCTATAACTTTGTCAATCTGCCTCAA